GCAGTCCCCTGGGGGGGGGGCCTATAGGGGTTACTGTGGTGTGGGGGGGGGGGCAGGGGGCCCTATGGGGGTTACAGTGGGGGTGGGGGTTGTGGTGGGGGGATGGGTGGGGTTTACAGTGTGTGGGTTACTGTGGTTTATGTGGGAGTGGGGTTTGTGGTGAGTGGGATGGGGGAAGAGGGTACAGTGGGGGGTTTTTGGTTAGGTTTTTTGATTGCATTGGGGTTGCCGGGGAGGGTTCCCCTTCTGTGGGGGGTACGGGGAAAAGGTTGTTTTTGTTTTCCCCTGGGTTGGTTTCTCCTGCTCCCTCCTTCCTTGCCTTTTTTTTCCCCTTGTGACGTTGCCCCCTCTCTTTCAGTTCACCTTTTTTTGTGTTCTCCCCCGGTCGAGGCATGCTCGGTCTCAATTTGTTCCTTAGATGCGCTTTCTCTGCGGATTGGTTTCGAGCGACTCTCCCTTGAAATCATTTTAAAACTGGATGCTTTTTGCCCTCGCAAACCCCCAAATTCCCCGAAAATTTGTCAGTTTTGGGTCGTGTGGCCCTCTCTGTTGCTTTCATGTTCTTTCAATTGTTTTTTTCCCCCTGTTTCTTGCTTCCTAATTTTCCCTTCTTTTATGGACCCCATAGACAAAAACTGTTTTTCTCCCGTTCGTCCTCCCTCTGTATTCCCTGAGCCCCTCTGAGTCGATTTAGTTCTTCCCGTTGATGCGCTTTTCCCTCTGTCTTTCCCTCCCCGTGCCCCTGTGTTTAGCTGTTCCTGGAAAGAGCTGCCCTTTAGAGGCTCTGCATATAGCTTAGCTCCTTCATTGTTTTTGGTCCCTTCATTTGTTCCTGCGTTCTCCTGTTTTTTCCCCCGGGCCCCACTTGATTCGTAGGTCTTGCATGTTTGTTGTTGTGTGTTTTGTGTATCCCAATTGTGGTTGCAAGGGTCGAGATCGCTCTGGCCCTGCCTCTTACAAACCGCTCTGGGTCCCCCCTCTCCCTGCTCCTGATTTTTAAAATTGCTTGTCTTAAAAAATATGTAGGGTTTCCCTCTTCATAATAATTGCCAGACTTTTCCATTCCCCCAACAACTCTGTGGCTGAAAAATTGTTTCCAAACCCCTTTGACTCATTGAGTCTTCAACTTAAA